TAGCTATTAATATCTAGCTTATTTAAATGTCTATCAATATCTGGCTTTTTTTTTTTTCAGAGAAAATGTTGTTTTTTTTCTGAGTCAAGAATCGCATTCTATGCTTTAACACGGGCTTCATTTAATCAAAAGATCTTTAGCCAGAAAGATCTCCCAAAACAGAGAAAGAAGGGTCCCGAAGTGAGTTTAAGAGGAGAGATTTAAAAGAACCAAGTGACTAGTCCCTAAGAGAGCAAGCTTTGGAGCTTTAGGGCATGTTCAGCAGCGAGAAACGTACCCACGGGGAACTAAAAAAAAAAAGGCCAACAGATTTCTTCTGCTTTTTTTATATCTCGGTGGTGAAATAGTTGCTTTGTGAGCTTTTCGGCTCGAAAGAGTTGACTTCATTCAATGGAACTGCAGCTCCTAGGGCCGAAAAAATACTAAGAGTGTTAGGGACACACCCAGGAAAATACTGCTGGGGTTGCAGCAAAGGCGGGATGGCGGGCATAGTGCCCAAATTACTAACGCTTTGCTTACTCATTGCAACGAGGCGGAGGAGGGAGGGCTTCTCCCTCTGCACCCTTTCAAAGCCAGCTTGTAGGAAGGCCCCTCTGGAAGGAACGAACCAGGAGTAAACCAGCCGTTGGTCTTTGCGGTTAAGCACTGTTGCTTCCCCCTTTGATGTAAGGGCACCGAGCTGCAAAACAAAACAACAAAATAATAATAATAAATTGGGGTTTTTTTTTTCTCCTTTTTCTTTGTTTTTAATCTCAAGAGCGATTTGGCAGCTTCCTGAAGCAAGAGGCTGGAGGGAGGGAGGGTTGGTCGAAGGAGGGGAAAATAAAAAATGTATGATTTGGATTGCAAAAATTGCAGTTCTTGCAAAGGGAAGAAACCGGGCACCACAATGCAGTTTGGAGATGATCTGCTTCTGCAAGGAGGTTTGTTTCCGATTGCAGGAGTAAACCGGTCCCGTTTTTGCTGCCCCGGGATAGCAAAAGTCTTGAGCGACAAGGTTTCCCCCGATGGGGATTGAAGCCAGCGGGCCTTTTAGGTTTGACCCCCCCAAAAAAAAACCTCTCCAGTACAACCCTGCCTGGCTGTGGTTTTGCAAACCCAAGGGGCAGAGCGTAACAACTTGCTGAAGAAGGATGTGTCAAATCAGGCCAAATCGGAGGGATACGGTACAAAGCATCCGGACTCTCAGCTTATCCGAAGCTTTCAAAATAAATCAACGTTTCTAAGAAATATTCCATCCGGAGACAGAGGCCTCCTGGGGAGCGGGGGAGAACCCACCACAAGGGGTTCCAAAGCCTCCGGGGTTTGCAAGTAAAAATAAAGCCGTATTGCAATGAAATTCACCTCTCGCCAAAGGGCCCAGTTTAATTTCGCCTTGGTGCGAGAGGTAGAATTATTATTTTTTTCCCCAAAATTGCCCACATTCAATTTTGAATTGGCCTCATTGGCCCAAGGCAGAGATCTGTGGATCCATCCATCCTTCCTTCCTTCCTTCCTTCCTTTCTTTCTTTTCCTTCCTTTCTTTCTTCTTTCTTTCTTTTTTCTTTTTCTTTCTTTCTTTTCTTATCTTTCCTTCCTTTTCTTTCCTTCCATTTTTCTTCCTCCTTTCCTTATTTCCTTCCTTCCTTTTCTTCCTTTCCTTTCCATTCCTTCCTTTTTTCCTTTTCCTTTTTCTTCCTTCCTTCTTTCCTTCCTCCTTTCCTTTCCTGTCCTCTTTCCTCCCTCCTATCCTTTCCGTTCCTTTCCTTCCTTATTTCTTTTTATTTTCCTTCCTCCTTTCTTTTCTTTTTTCTTTCCCCTTCCTTCCTTCCTTCCTTTCTAAAATCTCCTTTTCCCGTTCTATTTCCCCCCCAGGGTCAGGGGCAAACGCCCCAAATTCCACTCTGCAACAGTGGCAGGCGGGGTGTGTGGTTCCACCGGCCTTTCCTTAAACCAGAAAGTCCTAAATTCTTAGGTGCATTTTTTACAAGCGGTGAGTCACCGCAATAGAGATCCGTTTAGGTAATCTTCAACCAAGTCTTGTACTCTGCTCATTCCTTTCTGCATGGCTCAGCCTCCCAAAGGGACGAGAGACGTGTGTCTGCAATGAGTCATCCGGTTGTGGGGTGTGTGTGTGCGTTTGTGTGTTTGTGCGAGCTACAGCAGACGGCCTTTATCCAATGGGGCAGGGTCAGAATGAGACTTGTGCAGCGTAAAAGTAGGACTTTCTCCTGTCTGGAAGGGCCTCGCCAGCTTGGAAATGGGTGGATTCCCTTCAGGAACGGGAGCTGGAAGGGACCTCAGAGGTCATCCAGTCCAACCCCAGGAGATTCTGAACCATTTCTGACAGTTCTGCCCAGCCTCTCCTTTGAAATCTTCCAGGGATCGATTCGAACAGGCTTAGGGGATGCAGAAGGAGGGTTTCGTTTTCCTTTTGTTTTACAAAATGGCAAAAAAAATTGTGACCTGAGTTTTGTTCAGACAGTTCGGGCGATAACTCCAAACTTCGGCAGTTGAAATAGATGAATTACTTTTTATGATGTGGTCCTATATCGGTTCCTTGCTGGTCGATAATTTTGGATTCCAAATCAAGATTTGAGAGAAGGATCCATAACGGATCCCCTTTTTTCCCCCGTTATATTGGAAGCCCGCCGGCGAAGGGCACAAACGGGATCACGCAACCGTCGGGGTGCTACAACTGTTTGCAAATCCAGGCCGGTTGCCAAATTTCTATCGCTTGACCCACGGAGATGGTGCAATGGTTGTACCAGTTGTAAGTCATTTTTTTTCCCCGTTGCCATTGCAACTTTCAAACCCCAAACGGCTGTAAGTTGAGGACTGTCGTTCTGAAATTCCCAACATGGTTTGTGTCGGTGGTGGGCAAGGTTGGGATTTGAAGAGTGGGGGATATAACTCACCAACTTTCTTTCCCTCTTTCTTTCTTTCCTCTCTTCTTTCTTTCTTACTTTCTTTTTTTCTTTTTCTTACCATTTCTTTTTTTTTTTTTGCCTTTTTTCTCTCTCTTTCCATCTTTTTCTTTCTTTCTTTCTTGCCTCTTTTTTTTCTTTCCCTCTCTTTTCTTTCTTGCCTTTCTTTCTTTCTTTCTTTCTTTCCTTCTTTCCTTCCTTCCTTCCTTCCTTCCTTCCTTAGACTCGGTCTGCCTCCTTGAGATCCCTGCCAAGATGCCCTCCCAGCTGGAGCACGCCATGGAGACTGTCATGTTTACCTTCCATAAATTTGCCGGCGACAAGAACTACCTAACCAAAGAGGACCTCCGGCTGCTGATGGAAAAAGAGGTGCCGGGGTATATGGAGGTGAGCAAAGAGAAGGGATGGGTTGGTGTCCTCCATGGACCCTTCCTCCTCCTCCTTTTTCTCCTCCTCCTCCATCATAACCATCTCCTTGTTGTCTTCTCCACTGTCATGAAAATCTCTTCGTCCTCCTTCTCATCATCCTCTCCATCAAAATCGTCTCATCTTCTCATCATTTCCTGTATGATGATAAATTTTTCGTCTTCCTTCTCATCGTGTGTTCCATCCTGATCATTTCATCTTGTCCTTCTCATCATCTCCATCTCCTCCGTGGTCATCTCAACATCTCCTCCTCCACTTTGTCCATCATGAACCCCACGTTTTCCTTCTCATCCTCCTCTGTCGTGACCATCTCTTCTTCGCCACCGTGACCATCTCAACTTCATCTTCTCTCTCTCCATCATAACCATCCAAACCTTTCCCTTTCATGATCATCTCCTGCTCCTCCATCTCATCTCTCCTTCTCATGATCATCTCAACCTCATCTCCATCATGATCCCATCTTTTCTCCATCACCTCATCCTCCATCTTCTCATTTCCTTCTGAATCATGGCCATCTCTTCAACCTCGTCTTCTTTATTGCGATCATCTCATCTTCCATCTCCTTCTCCTTCGTCATGACCGTCTCAACCTCTTCGCCTCCTCCTCCTCCTTCCCCATAACCATATAACCTCCTCCATCACAATCATCTCCCTATCTTCCTCATCTCCTCCTTCTCCGTCGTGACCATCTCCTCTTCTCCTTCTGCCCTTTTTCTTTCAAACCCACCTCTAGAACCAGAAGGACCCCATGGCCATTGACCGGATCATGAAGAACCTGGAGGAATGCCGGGATGGCAAAATCAGCTTTGAAGGCTACCTGTCCCTCTTTGCCGGGTTGACCAACGGCTGCAACGAGTATTACATCAAGAAAATGAAGCCAACGGGGAAGAAATTCTGAACCGGGCAGACCCAGATGGCTCTTTCCCAAGCACTGACGGCGCGTTTTGGCCCAGGGAGAGCTTCAACGGTGCCTGCTGCGCCGTCGCCCGCCTGCTTCCCCGTCCAAAGCCAGTCCATTCTGCTTCAAAACAGCACATGTTCTCCCAGGCCTAACCACCCGAGCTGACAACGTACAGGAGAAACTAACCCTTAAATCAAATTGTGAAAAACACCGCAAAGGCCACCTTGTTTCCACCAGGAAATACGCTTCGGTTTGCCCTTATGCTGTGTACTAGATCCAAAAATAAATCTCTTTTTTTGTATTGCCCTGTCTATATTATTATTATTATTATTATTATTATTATTATTATTATTATTATTATTTTACCTAGAATAAAACTCCAGTAACAGTACAGGTTGCTCTAGTTAGTTTATTTTATTGATTAGCCCTTGGGCAGAGTTCCAGATGACAAATTATTACTAAAATCTGATAAAAACAATTTAAAATGAAATTGGAATGAAATACAAATTTAAAATGAAATTGGAATAAAACGCAGCTTAAAATGAACGGAATAAAATACAATAATTGAATATGTAAATATGATAAAATGTAGTCTCAATTTATGATGGCCATTTAGCAGCCGTTCAAAGTTGCAGCAGATACTCCCCAACAGGTATTTAGAACCCAGGTCCAAAACCCCCACGCCATCATAACTTTCGGCCATAACGGGCAGGCTCCACTGTGGTCTTTAAGTCGAGGAATAGCTGTAACTTTGGTAGTTTCAAACACAGAGGAGCGAATCAATGGCGTGGGAGGGAAACGGAGGCACCCTTATACTCTGAAAAAATAATTTTAATTTGAATTATTAAATAATTTTAATAATTTTCCTGAATCCAATCGGAACCATTTTGATCGTGAGAGGGATTCCTTTTTAATGGGGCAGTAGAAAAACTTTTCAAATAAATAGAGTTTATTTTTCACTGGGTTAAATAAATGGCCTAGGAAATGAACCCAACCCTCTGTTTTCATCTCCAATATTTGACGTAGTAGACAGTGGTGGGATTCTATGGTTTGGACCGGTTCTGGCAAACTGGTCTGAACCAGTCCGAACCAGTCTGAAGTGCGCGCTCACAGAAACAGTTGTTACACTGGTTGAATCGCACTACTAGTGGTAGAATATTATTAGCGGATCTTCGGCTATTTTCCTTCCTGTTACGGTTTGAGGGCAGGATTTTTTCTTAACTGATTAACTGCCCAGCTCTGTAGCAACCCCGGGAGGCTTTAAAAATGAAAATATTTGCAGGAAGCTGAAGGAGAGAGTTTGCCCAATATGAAACCCAGAATTTCCTAGTCTCGGGAGAGGGTAAAGCGTCATTCTCTGGAGCAACATGGAAAAACCACACTTGTGATTTTCATAAGTCTAGGCAGGCTTTTGAAAGAGGACAGATTTTCTGGCTGTGGGTTGGGGATGATTCATTCTTCTGCATGTTTCCTGCCCTTGGGGCTTAGGCCAAAAATACTTAAGGTTGCCAAGACGATAAGAGAGAAATTGGACACGGCAAAACCAGTCAAAAACCAGTCATCAAAGCCAGTTACTTGGTGGGCTTTGCAAACATTTCCAGATGGGGAAGAAAGACTTTGAAATAACAACCGACAAATAACCGAGGGACTTTTTTTTTTTCATTTTGCTTTTTACTCCTTGCAGTCCAAAAATACGCTTCCGATTTGAACGGGAATGGAAATGTTTTCTCATCCTTCCGTCACATCACAAAACGGCGACATTTACTGCCTGCTGTTTCGTGCCCAAAGGGCAAAATAAAAAAATATTCCTGGCAGAGTTGGTTGTGTGGTTTCAGGATACTTTGGAACACAATATATCCCTTAAAAAAAGGTTATTTCGGTAGAAAATAACATTTGTTGTTGGTTCAAGGGAGGGAAATGAATGGGATGGATCCAAATGAGTGACAGCTCAAGACTTTTGTTGCTTTTATTAGTTTCTGAAAAGGGGAGCTTTGCTCCATTTAAACCAGTGTTTCAGCAATTTTAAGACGGGCGGACTTCAACTCCCAGAATTCCCTGGCTGGCATGCCCAGTAGAGATGTCAAAGTTGTAAAGGAGACTTCCTTCCTTCTGAAGTGTTTCTATCATTAAGTGTTTTTCCTGTCCGTTTTTGCGACTTTTTAAAAATCCTTGAGCGTAGAAAACCAGCAGGTCAGGAATTAGGCCGAGGCAGCTCCCTGAGAGGCTTGCTTTCCAACTGCAGGACCCAAGCTGTAAAAGAGGCCATTTATTAGAAATGGTGTAGGGAGGGTCTCCTGCTTGGGCAGGAGGTTGGACTAGATGACCTACAAGGTCCCTTCCAACTCTGTTAATCTAATATGTTGAAACAGCTCTGCTCCAGGGGGTTTCTGTCACCGGCCCAGGTGTTTTTCCTGTCCATTTTTTGCGACTGTTTTTTAAAAATCCCTGCACGTAGGAAACCAGCAGGTCAGGAATTGGGAGGCAGCAGCTCCCCGAGAGGCTTGCTTTCCAGCTGCGGGGCCCTCTCCATTTTCCAGCTTGAGGCTGCAAACCCAAGCAGAGCCGATGTTCTTGGCCCGAGATGAGCTTCGCAGTAGTTTTTTCCTCTGCATGATTCATCGGGGACAGTTCCAGGCAAGGCATTAGGCCATAATTTTAATGCTGGTTCTTCTCCGCCAGGAGCCTCATTCTGGTCACGTTTTTTTTTGGTCCGCCCTGTTGCAAAGTCGGGTCCTCTTGGATGCCAAAGGCTGCGGCTTCCTAGCCTTCTGCAGAAGGAAAGACGTTGCAAGCTGCTTGGAAAAAAAAAAAAACAGCGGGGTGGTTTCCTTGGGGGACTCTGCACATGCTCAGGGATGCCTTTCCCTTGAGAAAGGGGGGTTTGCGCCCCTTGCACAAAAGCACTCAAGCATCAGAAAGGTCTTAAAAGAGGTTTTGGGGCCTCTGAGCATGTGCAAAGGGCTACAGCCAGCACAAGAAACGCCTTTTTCTGGGCTCTGCAAAGAGTGTAAACCCCAGGTTGCGATTGACACTCCCTTGGGCCAATCAGAGAAGACGATTGGATACGTCAATGGCCGCCTGACTCAGGAATGTTTGATGTTGCAAGGCTGGGGCGGGGCACGTCACAAAACGCTAGATTGGCGGACGGCTTATCCAATGGGCAATGCTTAGAGTAGGCACAAGGTGAACTATGATTGGAGCATCCGAGTGACCGCTGTTGGGCCGGACTGGCCCTTCTTAAGGGCCAATCCAAGAGAGGCTCATTAGAACTGAGGAAGCCCAACGGCGCCTGATTGGATACTTTGCCTTGATTGACTTGACCCTCAAAGTAAGTGGGATCGAGCGATTAAACTGCTTCAAAAAATGACCCGGGGAACAAAGGAGACTCCGGCATGAGGCGGGGAGACAGTTCCTTACCTCAAGGGGCCTCGGCGCGCGAGGGGAAAAAGAGCGAAGAGCGCAACCGAAGTACGACCGCATCCCCACCCCCGCCCCGGCGCACCCAAGCCGGAGCGCCTCCCGCCCGAAGGCGAAGAGCGTGACGCGCATGCGTCGGAGATAGCCTCAGCCCCCCCCTCGAGTGACGTCAGGAGCGGTGCCTCGCGTTCATTCTACCATCGAGAGGCGAAGGTGAAGCAGGTAGGTCGGAGGCAAGGAGGGTCGGAGGTCAGGGGTCACGCGGGGGGAAGGGGTCAAAGGGCAAGGGATCATGTGTGATATATATATATATATGTGAGCATATATAATATATAATTTACTTTATATATTTAATTTAATTTATATAATTTACATATATATGTGATACAAATAAAGATATGGAATGTATGTAATGACATGTATATTAAGTATATATCATTAAGTATAATGATGGAATATATGAGTGTGTGTGCGTGTGTACATATATGTCCTATTTTTTCTTTTTTATTCGTATCCAATTCATGTATTCATAACCATGCTTATACCTGTTATCTAATACTTGCTTGGCAAATAAGTAAAATAAAATAAATAAATTTTATATACATGTATGTATGTATGTATGTATGGTATTCATCTTTGTTCGGGTATTTTCCCACGTCATTATAGTTGTGCTTTTAAAGTTGTACAACGTTTCAGCAGAATCTCATCTGCCATCATCAGGCTTCTGTTATAAAATTTATATAATATATAATATACATGTAAATTATATATAATAATATATAATTTACATATATATGTGGGGGGGGGATACAAATATAGATATGGAATGTATGTAATGACATGTATTGATGTTGGTATAACGGGCTGTGTGATGCCCTTGTGAGTTTTGTTGTGGAGATATCCTGGATCTTGTGCTGTAATCTCCTGGGTCGTTTGTTTTGTAGTGATCTTTTTTCCATTAGCCTCCCGTGTTTTAACGGCTTGGGTAATGGGTGGTGTGGTGACCTTGTGAGTTTTATTACTGTGGTATCCTTGGTCTTGTGCTGTGATTTCCTGGGTCATTTGCTATGTTGCAAATTCTTAACTTCTTGAGAACTCAAGAAGTTGCAACACAGCAAGCGACCCAGGAAATCACAGTACGCTAGCTCCAAATTTAAAGCTGAAACAGCTGTGAAAGTCTGACTCACAGACGAACCCAATACAGAAGCCTGATGATGGCAGATGAGATTCTGCCGAAACGTCGCTACAACTTTAAAAGCACAACTATAATGACGTGGCAAAAGCTGAATATCATACATATATGCACACACACATATATATGCACACACACATACATATATACACACAAGTGTGATTAGACACACAAGGTATTTGTCTCTGATGAATAAGCTCTCAGTGAATATATGTATATGTAGAATGTGTGTGTGTGTATTGTTAGCTCCATAGAGTAAGCGGCTATATAAATGTTCTAGTACACATATATTAAAACATGCCATTACATATCCAATGAGTCTGGGCAACTGACAATATGCATATTCATATTGAATATATATATATATATATATATATATATATATATATATATATATA